AATATAGTTATATGATTGTTGACAAAGGAATAAAAAATTTAAATTTGTTTAATACTAGAACATTAGACTGATTGTTTCTTTCATTAGTCTTCAAGTGCTGGCAATGTGCTGGAACAGTCTTTAAAAGCAAATGATAGCTCACTCTGAAGTACTAATTTAAGAGAATGGCATGTCTCCAAAACTCATTCAAGAAACCAAGTGGTTAATTAAAACTTAAATCAGATTATTTGAGTGGGTTTTAATAAGTGTGCTGTGGTGCAGGCAAAAATGATGATGGAATATCCTCTGAAAATTTTATGTCATTATTTTGGGGACCAATCCAAAGATCATTTACTACAGATAATGATAAAATGAATATAATGATGACAGCAATTTTGAGCTAGTTAAGAATTTGTCAATTAAATTGTTTTGAATGCCTTCCGAATAAATGTTAAATTTGAGTGAACATGGAAAATGGCACATTATCTAAATTACATTTTTATTGGCATAGATAATAGTGTGACATTACCCAAAATGACTAAGAATCAGAAGGCTAAACAGACCCAAGCATTAGATATGTAAATACTTAATAATTGCCTCTAATAAAAAGAGAGTTTAAAATAAATGATGTCTTTGAATTGCGATTTTTATAATAAAAATGATAATTAAAACTAAAGATTTAATAAGTTATAATCTTTTAAAAAGAGATTTTAATTCTGTACCCTCTTCGTATCTGATTCCAATTCCCCAGAGGCAAACATCTTCAGCTCTTTTTAGCTCTTATAGTATTTACTTCCATATATGCAAATACCCTTGCCCTGTGATATGGTTTGGCTGTGTCCCCACCCAAATCTCATCTTGAATTGTAACTTCCACAATTCCCATGTGCCCTGGGACGAACCCAGTGGGAGGTAATTGAGTCACAGGTGGTTCTTTCCTGTGCTGTTCTAGTGATAGTGAATACGTCTCGTGAGATCTGATGGTTTTTAAAATGGAGTTTCCATACACAAGGTCTCTTTCTTTGCCTGCTGCCATCCATGTAAGATATGACTTGCTCCTCCTTGCCTTCTGCCATGACTGTGAGGCCTCACAGCCATGTGGAACTGTAAATCCATTAAGCCTCTTTATTTTCTAAATTGCACAGTCTCAGGTATGCCTTTATTAGCAGCGTGAAAATGGGCTAATATAATAAATTGGTACTGGGAGAGTGGGGTGCTGCTGAAAAGATACCTGAAAATGTGGAAGTGACTTTTTGTGGAACTGGGTAACGGGCAGAGGTTGGAACAGTGTGGAGGGCTCAGAAGACAGGAAAATATGGGAAAGTTTGCAACTTCCTAGAGTCTTGTTGAATGGCTTTGAACAAAATGCTGATAGTAATATAAAAAATGAAATTCAGGCTAAGCTGGTTCAGATGAGATGAGGAACTTGCTGGGAACTGGAGCAAACATGACTCTTGCTATGTTTTAATAAAGAGACTGGTGGCATTTTGCTCCTGCCCTCAAGATTTGTGGAACTTTGAACTTAAGGGAGATTTAGGGTATGTGGCAGAAGAAACTTCTAAGCAGCAAAGCTTTCAAGAGGTGACTTGGGTGCTGTTACATACATTCAGTTTTAAAAGGAAAACAGATCATAAAAGTTCAGAAAATTTGCAGCCTGATGATGGCATAAAAAAGAGAAACCTATTTTCTGAGGAAAAATTCAAGCTGGCTGCAGAAATTTGCATAAATAGCGAGGACCCAAATATTCATCCCCAAGACAATGAGGAAAGTATCTCCAGGGCACATCAGAGACCTTTGCAGTAGCCGCTCTCATTACAGACCCAGAGGCTGAGAAGGAAAAAGTGGTTTCATAGGCTGGGCCCAGGGTCCCTTTGCTGTGTGCAGTCTAGGGATTTGGTGCCCTGTGTCTCAGCTGCTCCAGCTGTGACTGAAAAAAAGCCAAGGTACAGCTTGGGCCATGGCTTCACAGGGTGCAAGGCCCTAGCCTTGGCAGCTTCCACATGGTGTTGAGCCTGTGGGTGCACAGAAGTCAAGAACTGAGGTTTGGGAACCTCTGCCTAGATTTCAGAAGATGTATGGAAACACCTGGATGTCTAGGCAGAAATTTGCAGGATGCTCAGGGAGAACCTCTGCTAGGGCAGTGCAGAAAGGAAATGTGGGGTCAGAGCCCCCACACAGAGTCACTGCCTAGTGGAGTTGTAAGAAGAATGTCACCATCCTCCAGATCCCAGAATGGTAGATCCACTGACAGTTTGCACCATGCTCCTCGAAAAGACATAGACACTGAGTGCCAGCCCATGAAAGCAGCTAGGAGGGAGGCTGTACCTTGCAAAGCCACAGGGATGGAGCTGCCTAAGACCAGGGGAACCCACCTCTTGCATCAGCATGACTTGCATGTCAGACATGGAGTCCAAGGAGATCATTTTGGAGCTTTAAGATTTGATTGCCCTGCTTGATTTCAGACTTGCATGGGGCCTGTAGCCCCTTTGTTTTGGCCAATTTCTCCCACTTGGAATGGCTGTATTTACCCAATGCCTGTACCCCCATTGTATCTGGGAAGTAACTACTTGCTTTTGATTTTACAGGCTTATAGGAGAAAAGGACTTGTCTTATCTAAGATGAACCTTTGGACTGCGGACTTTTGAGTTAATGCTGAAATGAGTTAAGGCTTTGGAGGACTATTGGGAAGGCATGATTGGTTTTGAAATGTAAAAAGAACATTAGATTTGGGAGGGGCCAGGGGTGGAATATGTTTGTCTGTGTCCCCACCCAAATTTCATCTTAACTTCTAACTCTCATAATTCCCATGTGTTGTGGGGGACACTGGCAGGAGGTAACTGAATTATGGGGATGGATCTTTCCCATGTTGTTCTCCTGATAGTGAATGAGTCTCACAAGATCTGATGGTTTTAAAAATGAGACTTTCCCTACACAAGCTCTCTCTCTTTGCCTGCCGCCATCCATGTAAGATGTGACTTGCTCCTCCTTGCCTTCCGCCATGATTGTGAGGCTTTCCCAGACATGTGGAATTGTGTAAGTCCAATAAACCCCTTTCTTTTGTAAATTGCCCAGTTTCAGGTATGTTTTTATTAGCAGTGTGAAAATGGACTAATACACACTGTTATTTAAAGGTGTTTAATATTAGCTATTGACTTTTTACTATGGAAGGTGAGGGTTTAGCTTACCTATAGTTACATACCCTCCTTCTATTTCCCTAACACATTATGATTTTACCGTAATTCTTGGTAAGATGATATTCAGCATTTAAAATACTAGGAGTATGTGAAAATTACTTGTAATTAAGCCATGTAAGGGGATTACGATTCCATTTCCTGCTCTGAGCAACTTTTTTTCTTCCTTGGAATTGATAATTGTCTCTGTTGTTTGCTTAGTTTTATATCATTAATCCTAAACCTCTCTGCTAGAAGTGTCACATCATAAAGTGATACAACAATTGCTATCTTTCTTTCTCTTTTCTCTCCTCCTTCCCTCCTTCCTTTCCTCCCTTTCTCTTCCTCCCTGCTTCCCTCCCTCCCTCCCACCCTCCTTCCTTCCTTCCTTTCTTTCTTTTCAATCTTTCTTTTTTCTTTCTCTTTCTCTCTCTCTCTTTCTTTCTCTCTTTCCTTCTTTCTTTCTCTCTTTCATTCTTTCTTTCTCTCTTTCCTTCTTTCTTTCCTTCTCTCCCTTTCTCTCTTTGTCTCTCTGCACTCCTGGTGCTCTTTCTTACTTCAGTCTGGACTGGTTGCTCTCTCAACCAGCCTGCTATACAGTTCTTCTCCTGGGATCTTCCTTCACTTTCATACTGAGTACCCCATTTGCTTTTCCTTACAGTTTATTGGCTTGCTTGTATTGGCTGGACCACTTCCTCTAGTATCTTCTTGGACAAAGTAAATAAGAATTAAATCTTTTCAGACATCACAAGTTTGAAAGTTTCTTATTCTATCATTGCATTTACTTGATAATTTGGTGAGGTATAGAATGCTGGGTTTGAAATAATTTTTCCTCAGTACTGTGAAAGCTGCTTACTATTATCTTATAGACTTAAAGCTGCTGTAGAGAGACCAGTGACATTCTGATTTCTGATGCTGTGTGTTTGGCTGCTTGTATTGTTTTCTGTACTGAAAGCTTTAGGCTATTCTCTTTGTCCTAGTGATATGAAATTTCAGTATTTATGCATTTTCCCATCTATTGTATGGGTATTTGATGGGTCTTTTTAAGGTGGAAAGATATATTCTTTAGATGTAGGAAACTGTCTTTAATTTTTAAAAATAATCTTTCAAATTTAGTATTCTCTTTTTTCTCTTTCTGGGACTACTCTTAATCATATGCCTGCCAGTACTTGTAGGTCATTTTCCTTGGGTTGGTCAGTTTCCCACACTAGGAATTCTCTGGGAGTGAAAAGTCAGGCTGCCAGTGTTTGAAGGCCCAATAAAAGAAAATGGCTATGAAATTTCACCATTCTGTATATGAACACTCAACCATCCATCAACTGAAAATGAAAGCCTCAAGCTCAGAGACTGTCTTTCTGGTTCAACTTCACCAGAAAATAAGTTTCTCATCAAACAAGTTAGAGAGCAAAGTAATCATTTAGCTATCTAGGGCACAGAAGGAGACACAGGGGTCACATGGCTTTCCACAGACTTCCAACCAATTCTACTATTTTGGTCACAGTCTCACCTCCATGAAAGTTACCATGTACTTTCAAGTTCTGAACTTTTCCAGGGTCCTAGGATTTGTTTGTTGTTGGAATTCCCTCACTGCCTGGTTTTGGTTTCCCCTTCCTGAGGTTTGTTAAGTCAGTTACCATATACTCAACTGCTTTCTTTCATTAAAAAATTTCTATGAATCTGTCTCCATTACAGTTTTTTTCCTTGTAATATTTTAGTTTTTGAACTCTTAACTATTATTTTGAGTATGATTTAGAAAGAAGAGAGAATACAGGTTTAAAGAAACTATGTCTACTGCATCTTTATTACAAGGCTATATGTAATATATATGTATAATATACAATATTATATTTGGTCACCATAGAGACTGTTAAAAATTGCTAATGTCAACTATATTGCAAGTCTTCATGGCAGGGTATTGGGAAATGTTTTCAATTAGCAATAATTGTGCCTCAGATAAACTTCATTGGCTATGATACTGCCACTGGGCAAAGCTTATGTTTAATATTTTAAATGTGGATTATGGGAGACTATAAGAAACATTTTCAGTTGCATGAAATAAATAATCTGACAAGAATCTTTGCCTCCTGTTATCTGAGATTTTTCATGTAAATATACATTTTACAGCGGGAAGATCGCATAGCTTTACCACATAGATTCATTGTTTATCATATTGACAGTAAAAAACACAAAAGAAAAACGTTAAAATTTATTCATACTCCCACCATTTAAAAAGAATAATCAATTATTATACAGAATAAAAAGTAAAAGTACAATTCCCACTTCCAGGAAGATGGAGTAGATTACTTTTTCCTGTTCTTCCCACTAAGAACAACTAAAAACCCTCAACATTATATACAAAACAAACATAAGAGAAGAGTCTGAAGTGGGAAGAGCGGAAAGCAGACTGGCTATGAACCTAGGAACCTGAGGATCAACAAGCTGGTAAGTTCCCCAGGGTTTTCTTTTTGCCTTCTATATCCCAGCCCTGGAGCTTAAAAACCTGGTTACCCAGAAACACTAACTTGCATTGACAAAACAAACAACCAAACAACCCCGACAAAAGCCTGCTCTGTCTAGCCAAAGGAGTAGGAAAGAGGCAACCTATAAAACCAGAAACCTTTTAGACAATATTCACCCTGCTATAGCCAAACACCACAGAAAAAACTGGGGCCCCACCCTCACCTATACCAGCGAAAGCCACGTGGTGGAGCCCAGCCTTCCCGCCTCAACAGGCTGTCACTTTTATTCCTGGGATAGGTAACAAGGCAGGCCCCCTGCTGTGTCACTGAAGACCAAGGGGAGAGTCTTGACATCAACCTCCACCAGGCAGCAAAGGAGCTACCTACCCCTTCCCACTGATTTGGTGTCAAAGCAGGCCTGTTGGAGTCAGGACTTTTACCATTACCCAGCAGTAATGAGACCACGCCACCATGGATGGCTGGAACTCTCACTGCTGCCCCAATCTTCAAAATACAATTTATCAAAATTTGTAGGACACAGCTAAAGCAGTGGGGAAGAAATTTATAGTATGAGATGCTTACATTAAGAAAGAGAAAAAGTATCAAATTAGTAACCTAAGTTCCCACCTCAAGAGCCCGGGGGGAAAAAAAAGAGCAAAATAAACCCGAAGTATGCAGAAGGAAGGAAATAATAAAGAGCAGAAATCTGTGAAATTGAAAACAGAAAGCAATAGAGAAAAATCAATGAAACAAAGAGCTATTTTTTTTTTCTTTTTTTGGTAAAGGTCAATAAATTTGACAAACCTCTAGCAAGACTAACAAAGAAAAGGAGAAGACACAAATTACCAATATCAGGAATGAAATAGGGGTATCGCTACAGATTCTGTACCTGTCAAAAGGATGAGGAAATACTATAAACACTTGTCACAAATAAGTTTGAAAACTTAAGAAAAATAGAACAATTCCTCAAAAAACACGAACTACCACAACTCACCCCAAATAAAATAGATAATTTGAATATCTTTGACATTTTCAAGAAAATCAGACTCATAATTAAAAACTCCCAACAAAGAAATGTTCAGGCCCTGATGGTTTCAGCGGATAATTCTATGAAATGTTTAAAGAAGAATTAATATCAATTCTACACAATCTTTCCCCAAAAAAAAGAAGAGAGGAAGTTTACAAATTCATTTAATAAAACTACTATTATCCTGATATCAAAGCCAATGACAATACACAACATAAAAATGAAAACTGTGGACCAATATCCCTCATGAATATAGATGCAAAAATCCTTAACAAAATATTAGCTAATATAATTTGGCAAGATACAAAAAGAGTTATATACCATGACCGGCAATATTTATTCCAGGGATGCTAGGCTGGTTCAATATTTAAAAATCAGTCAATGTAATCTATCATATTAACAGGTTAAAAAAGAAAAGTTACATTATTATATCAATTACTGTAGAAAAAGCATTTATAAAAATTTGACACATTCATGATAAAAACTCCCAGAAAAATAGTATAGAGAGAAACTTCCTCAACTTTATAAGGAGCATGTATATACCTATACCTAACATTATACTTAATCGGTAAAAAATTAAATGCTTACCTTTTATGATAGGGAAAAAAGGCTAGTATGTTAGCCTTATCGCTCTTATTCAACATAGTGCAATAAGGTATGAAAAGGAAATAAGTATATAAACTGGAAGGAAAGAAACAAAATTATCCCTATTTGCAAATGATATGATTGTCCACATATAAAGTCCTAAGGAATCCACAAAAACAATTTCCTAGAACTAATAAGTGAATTTGGCAAGGTCACAGGATATGAAATAAACATAAGAAAATCAATTGTATTTCTATACCAGCAATGATTTCCAGGACACCGAAATTCAAAATACAATACCATTTTCAATGGCTAAAAAAAAAATGAAATATTTAGGTGTAAATCTAACAAAACACGTACAGGACTTGTGTGCTGAAGACTACACAGTGCTGATGAGAGCAACTGAAGAAGATATACATAAATGGATAGGCATTCCATGATCATGGATTGGAAGATTCAATATAGAGAATATATCAATTCTCTCCAATATTTTTCTTTTCTTTTTTTCTTTCTTTATTTACATTTTATATAAAAATTTTAAATAGAGATACGGTCTTGCTATATTGACCAGGCTGGTCTCAAACTCCTGGCTTCAAGCGATTGTCCCATCTCAGACTCCCAAAGTGTTGGTATTACAGGTGTGAGCCACTGTGCCCAGCCAGCGCTCTCCAAATTGATATGCAGGTTAATCTCTTAAAAAAAATTTTTTTTTTCAGGCCAAGTCTCACTTTGCCACCCAGGCTGGAGTGTAGTGGCACAATTTTGGCTCATTATGACCTCTGCCTCCTGGGTTCAAGCACTTCTCCTGCTTCAGCCTCCTGAGTAGCTGGGATTACAGGCATGTGCCACCATGCCTGGTTAATTTTTGTATTTTTAGAAGAGACATGGTTTTGCCATGTTGGCCAGGCTGGTCTCGAACTCCTGGTCTCAAATGATCCACCCACCTCCGCCTCCCAAAGTTCTAGTATTACAGGTGGAAGCCACCGTGCCCAGCTGCAGGTCAATTTCTGTAAGAATTCCTAGAAGATTTTATTGCAGATATGTATAAGATTATCTTACAATTTTTATGAAGGGGCAAATACATAAGAAGGTATAAAATAAATTTGAAAAATAGGAATTAGTCTGCTTAATTTCGAGATTGTGTGGTATTGTTGAAGGGAAAGACAGACAGACCTGGGAAACAGAACCCAGAAGAGAACCCAGAAGTTGCCCCACACAAATATATAAACTGCTGCAATGAAAATTCTTCCACATATATCTTTACATGCTCATATTATATCTGTAGGATGGGTGCAATTTATGAATCATACTGTATGTATATGATACATGTTAGTATGCATATGATACACTCCCAAATTACCCTTGTGAGTATTATTTTAATGTGTGAGACCTGGAGAAATTTTCTGTTATGGGGATTAGGGCTGGAGTTGCAGGTTCCATTGAAAGCCACTTGTCCCTATGGTAGTTATCGTACTGCCTAGCTAGACATTTTAATCTCAATTATGTGTAAATAAGGTATTATTGCTTACCAGTTAACATTGACCTACTCTTAGAGAAAAGTCCTGCTTTTGTACTACCGTCTTTGGATTCAATAGCAGAGACAAAAAAAAAAAAAAAAGAGGACTTAACAAATACTTCAGAGCCAGCCTTAGGTCTAATTTCAGTCAAAGGTTGGGTTGGTCTCTGTTCCTAGCCTGATTTTTCTAGGCTTTGCTCTGGACACTTCATAAATCCCCCTTTACTCCCTTTTTCTCTGTCCTCATAAACTTGCCAAACTTATTTTCTAAAAAAAGAAAAACAAACTATAGTAACAATCATTTAGGGAACTTTACATATTTAGCCAAATATGCATTTTCTTTTACAAAATTTGCCTTATAAGTCTGGAATTTTATGCAGTAATGAGCAGACTAGGGGAGTGTGTAGAAAAATGAAAGAGCAATCCTAATGCACTAAAAAATCAGACTGTAGGCTGGCGTGGTGTCTCAGCTTGTAATCCCAGCACTTTGGGAGGCCGAGGCAGGCAGATCACTTGAGGTCAGGAGTTCAAGACCAGCATGGCCAACATGGCAAAACCCTGTCTCTACCAAATATACAAAATACAGTCAGGCATGGTGGTACACGCCTGTAGTCCCAGCTACTTGTGTGGCTGAGACCCAGAGAATTGCATGAATCCAGGAGGCAGAGGTTGCAGTGAGCCAAGATCCCTCCACTGTATTCCAAACTGAGCAACAGAGTGAGACTCTGTCTTCAAGAAAAGAAAAAGAAAAAAGAAAAACATCAGACTGCAGAGGATCCCTTGTCCTGTATGGGCCTGCTTAGCATGGCATTTCCTACCTGCCTTCTATTTCTGAACCGGTAGGCTATGCATATCCATGATGTATTTAAGGTAATACACCAATCTTCAAGCACCTGTGAACTCTTCTCTTTCCTTGCCCAGCAAAAATGCCAACAAAGGAGAAAAATGAAGGAGTTTCAACAAGTAGACAAGTGTCTGAGCAACTCACCTACTTCTCGGCTAAACCTTTATTCTCCTGCTGCCCCTTGAAATGTAGTAGGTAACACATGCAGCCAATGAATGGACAAAATTATTGGAGAATAAGCTATGAAAAAATGTTGATGTCCAAACTCAGCTTCAAAGAAGGCCTCACATCATCCCTTTCTTGACCTCAGCTCAACTCCTCTCTTCTGGGTGTTTCTTACCTGCTTTTCTCTCCATGTCCTGAGATTCCTCTTTTGCTGCTGACAACATAAACTACTGATTTAGTAAGGGCTGGATTGAACTTTGGAATAAAGCTCAAGCTAGGCACGGTGGCTCATGCCTGTAATCCCAGCACTTTGGGAGGCTGAGACAGGTGGATGACAAGATCAAGGGATGACCATCCTGGCCAACATGGTGAAACCCCGTCTCTACTAAAAATTAGC